TCACTCATTCAATTAACAGATGTTTCCTAGCACCTATTATCTGCCTGCCCTGTTCTAGGCGCTGGGATACAAAGATAGCAAGTAGGCATGCGTGGGGTGGTGGTCATGGGGACACAAATTATCACACAGCATAAGAACTCTTGGTGAATCTAGACATGGCCAAGGTGCTTTAATGAGTATCATTAGCCATCATTTAGTAGAATGGTATAACCTCACAAACTCCAGGCTGAAAGCATAGTAGTTAAGGGGTGTTTCAAACAAAGAATCCTCTTTTCATTTCCTCAACAAATAAAATAAAAAAGAAATCCTAGGGAAGGATGGAGAATAAAAGGGAAGGTAACAATAGATAATTGTTGAAAGGGAATAGCAGACATTCTGGGAACAAGGACCACTGGTGAGGCAAGAGGAGAGGAGGGTTCCAGAGGCCACTGGAGGGAGGGGTGGAGGCCAGGGCTTAGCTGCTCTATGTCCCCTTCACCCCAACATCCCCTCCCCAAGTCCATTCGGGCTCCTGAGACCTTGCAGGTAAAACCGAGAACAAGGAAGTATACTCAACCCTGACCTGGTTATGAACAATCTTTCTTGGGGTCATATTCAATGTTCTCCTTTTGAAAAATCAAACCTAGGGTTCCAGTACATTCTGTGAATAATTTAAAAATTCATCTGTTTATGAATCTCAAATAGCTGCCTTACAGTTATTCTAGCTATGTACTGGAAAATAAAGAGCCAAGACTTTATACACAGGTGAGTAAAACTGGAAACCCCTCAACTGTATGTACTATATTGCTGACTTCTAAAGTAAGGTGAGTTTCAGGGCCAATGATGCCCAATAAAGGTTGTCCTGATTGGACTGGGTTGGGAACAATGACATATGCTAATTGAAAATATACTATGTGTTGAGCACCAGGGATACAAAAAAGAATAAGACATATATCTTGTTCTTGCAGAAGAGACAGCCACCTATAGCTAATTATAATACAGTGTCATGTGTGCTGCAGTGACACAATGGAATATATTTTAAGTTATCAAAGGAGGTAGTTATTAGCACTGTTGGCAGGGTTAGGTGTGTCAGGGAAGAATTCAGAGAAGACGTGACACTTGAGCAGGCTTTTAAGGATGAATGGAGACTGGCTCAGTGAACAAGATAGGGAAGGGTATTCCAGGTAGCAGGGAACAGAATGTGCTAAGGCAGAGGTGTGTTTGAAAACTACAAATCATTGCTATTCCTGCGGAATAAGCAGCAAAGCAGGAAGTGAAGTTGGAGGCAGAACTAGAGGGAGGGCAGACCTGCTTAATGACTCTGACTTTGAACCTGAGGGCAATGATGCACCACCAAATGGTTATAAAAGGGAATACACGGTGGGGCATGCGAGCAAACTGATCAGATTGTATTTTCAGAAAGATGATACTTTGGTGGTAACATGAAAGGTAACCAGGAGGTGAGGTCAAGCCTAGAGGCCTGAGACCAGTCAAACTGTTGGAAAATTCTACTCAAGTAGGGCTGAAGAAAACTGAGCTTGAAATGCTTTTGTTTTATTTCTCCTTTCCCTTGTGGTTCTCAAGGCTGACTGATCTCCCATCATCCCAGCGGACAGCACCACCTTTAGTTCAGACCTACTACTGAGCCAGACCTTATTGGGGTGTGATCCTGGTCCAAAGCTCCCCAACATCCTTGATGTAGCCAGGCTCACCTCTGGGGCAACCCCAAAAGCTGGTGGGATCTTAAAATGCTCGGCCATGAGTCCTTCTTCCCAGCAAAGGTGGCTTTGGGACCCTCTGTGTCTCCTCAGAAGATGAAAAGTCCTCCCCTCACCACCTCACGCCCCTTCCCCCGTTCACTGGCCAGGTATCAGATCATCCTTGGGGGGCACAGGCTGGTTCGGAGAGTATGCAAGCTGGCCTGTCAGGAAGCAAGAGTGGGAGGTTCCTGCAACTCTCTCACCCACGAGGAAACCTGACTCTGCAGCAGGGTCCTGGACCTGGAAAGCGATGACAGAAAGAAGGAACTGGGGCTGACAAGGAAGAAAAGGGAGCCACATTGTTCCTGGTGGATTCACTCTAAGTCCAGACGGTGGATCTTCTCCCCACTCATTACCATCTCAAAAGAGGAAGAAAGGGGCTGTGTGAGCTGGTTTCTCCCCCTTCAACAGCCTCTTCCTCTCAGGAAACAGTCTGCACAATGAAGGAGGGGCTGGGCAGAGGGCTGACCCCAGGCAGCAAGGCTCTGCCAAAGCCACCCAGGGACAGTGGGGCTGGCCCGCCACCGCCTGGCCACTCCTGGTATCAGGGGGACAGGCATCCTTTGGGAACTCTGCAGTGAAGGATTGGGGTTTAAGGCAGCCAGCATCAATATGGGAAGCTGGGAATGTATTTGGAAAGGCCTGCAAGTTCTTAAAGGATCTAGGATGGAGTTCTATAGGAGAAGCTGTTACGTGCGGGTAGGAAGTCTCTGTCACAAACATCCAATGAGTGCAGAGCCAACTTCCAGGTGACATAATGAGTCTCAGTTTCTCACCTTTCCACTTTTTTAACCACTGAGAGGCAAGAAAAGGACTGCTGTTCTCAAGACCTAATTAACCTGTGGGCATATGAAGAGTGACTGAAACAGACTGGAAGAAATTCCTCTGGCCAAAAATTGTGTCCCCACCAGGGTGCACAGCCTAACATTCACACATTGGTCTTGCCTGTGGATTAGAGAGATTGAGGACCAAAGTCAAAATTTAAATGTTACTTGGCTGAGGCTATTCATGGCATTTCAATCTCATTCACTGTGCGCCTACACTACACTACACACCATATGGGCACTGTGGGGGACAGAGATTAATTAATAAGACCCAACTTTATCATCTGAGAGCTAGCAGGGAAGAGTGATCATTAGAAAACCTTAGTACAACAGGGGTAAATCCTAATCCACTCTGCCTAATATTGGGCATAAAGAAATTAAATAGGCATGCCTACAGGAGCTGCTGTCAAGATGATTAATATTGCACAGAAGGTAACAATAGTCTGCAATAATAATACACACTTAATTAGCACTTACTGTCTACTAGACACATCCCAAACACTTCTATAGTAACTCAGATTTTAACCGTACTTACATATATTAACTCTACAGGTAGGTACCATTTTATTCCCATTTAGATGCAGTTAACGTTCAAAGGTCATATAGCTATTATGGGGTAGAGATTTGAATCCAGACAGCTCTGAAGTCTGAGTTCTTAACCACTGCACCATGCTGCCATTTATTAGGTCAGCCTCCACACAGGAAGCAACTTTTTAGACAAATACCCGCCATCACCATACCATGTTATCCCTGACTGAACCAGGGATAACACAGTCGGCAGAGAACACTCAAAATCAAGGTCAAATTGGGTTAAAGAGAAACAGAGGACTGCAAAGGCCATGTATGCATTTTGATTACCAGGCAGATAGGCAGCAGGATTGCACAGGCGAGAGTGCATGGAAGCAACACCTCTGCAGAAATCAACCCCTTGGCTCAGAACCTAAATATGATGCTTTACGTAAGAGCATAAGCAGAGATGAACAAGGCTTCATATAAGACCCTTCAAGCAAGCAGCATCATTGAAGACGATTCAGACTGGGTCAGAACAGAGGCAAGGCACATGACTACCCTGGTTAAGATGAAGTGATTTCTTCGCAGGAAAATAACGGCTAATGTCTGAACCTGCTGGACATGCTTTAATGTTGACTGTATTGAATACGCTAAAAACTATAAATATCTCCCACTCCAAAGTATAGGCTCAACCATTCCCAACCTGAGTTAACTCCTCAAGGAATGAATGTGAGTGCACACATCCGTGACAGAATAACAGAGCACCTGGCATGCTAAGGGAACTGAATACATTAATTTATTCATTTAATACATATTTACTGGATGCCTACTTTGTGGCAGCTTTTGGAGATGCACGCAGAAAACCTTGCCCTCCAGCTCCCATGGCATCCATGGGTCCACTGTCAGAATTGCCCTGGATGGTGTGCTTCTATGTCTCCACATTTGGGTTTACTTCCTGGACTGCAAATTCTATGTCTCCAACTGGAATGATAATATTTATCATATCTGTCTACCAAAAATTTGGAGTAGAGACCTCTTTTCTACCTGCAGTTCCATGTGTGCAGGGCCTGTTCATTATTTACCTGAGTACCTAAGACTGTTATTTGCACTCAGTCAGTGCTCAGTAACTACCTGTGGAACTACTGCTACAATAACCTTGACACATGTGTCCAGTCTCTGCCCCCCAGGATGCTTACCATCTATCGGGGCGGGGCATACCTGGGAAGAGACTGGAAGGGTTGTCATTTCTGCCTACCTTTGCTGTTAAGAGGACAGGTTCTGGAACAAAACTGCCAGTACATGAAAGAGTAGGGATGCAAACTCAGACACTGTGTTCCCAAGTGTTTCAGATAAGGACTGTGGGCCTTTGTTGGTTTCTTTTACCCTCACAGCAACCCCATTCAATGAGAGAGGATGGCTGAAGCCGAACGAGGTCAAGCAACTTGCCAGAGTTACTGCAGGTTTTAAGTTTTCCATTTTTAGAAAAGTAATACAGTGCATATACCATATGATATATAATACTTCCAGTGAGCTCTGGGCAGTACCCCATATCAAATGTATTAACGATGTCTGCAGCAAATCATATGAACAAGCACGGTGAGTGGCCCAATGAAGACTATTACAGTCTAACTTTCCTTCAGATCAGGTTTTGTTGCCAAATGGGTTATAAACTATTTTCTAGGTTTCAGAGCTTTTTGGATTTTGGATTTGCAGGTGAGAGATTTCAGACCTTAAATACAAAGCCCTTTGGACAGAGCATGGCACAAAGTAGCTTCCATGGTGCTTGGCATTAGTGGCCTTCCCTCCTGCCAATCTCTGATACCACAGAGCCTCTCACAGCTCTTCCCCTCTCTCTTCCCCACGAGGGAGATAAGCCCCATCTCCTCTCCTGCCCCTGGGGAGGGGGCACCTGCAGAGTCCTGCTTACCAGTCTGTGTGGGCATCATCGATCACCAGCAGGATCCTGGGCCTTTGAACAACAGGCGTGGAGGGACCTGGAGACTCCATCGGCCCCAAGGGGGCCTGTGAGGTCTGCTTCATGGCACTGGAGAAGGAGCTAAAAAGGCTGGATCCTGGAGAGGAGAAGGAGGCTGCCAGGGGCTGGGGGTGCCTCCTCTCCATGGCTGGGGATGCAGGGGAGCTGGTGGAGCTGTCTGGGCGCTGGAGGTCTGTCATGTAGCCGTTCGGCAGGTTGGCCACAAAGCTGCTGTCAGAGAGGCGTCGCCGGAGGAAATTCATGGCTGTGAATGATGAGATGGCTTGTTCCTACTCAGACTGTCTCGGTGAGGCCCAAAACACAGGCTGCCAGGCAGAGGGAGTGGTAGGGTCTCGGGCACAAGAGCCAGGGGAGTCCCACGCAAGTCGGCTGCTGCTTTTTCTACCTATGGAAACAGGCCAACAAACACATTAGTGGAAATGACCTCAGCCCCTTAAGAGCAAACAGATGATGCCCCTTCCTGCCCTGCTGCTGGGGGCAGTGCAAAGTGGGACATCTTTCTGGCAAGGCATTTGGCGACATCTAATTAGACCATACCCTTTTAACCTACAATTTCCATTTTCTGGAATTCTACCCCAAGAATGAAATCCGAGTTACAGAAAAAGCCTCTTGTACAAATGTATTTATCACAGCATTATTTACACTAGCAAAATACTGGCAAGTATCTCAACATCTGACCACAAGATAATGAACATGTAAACTGCAGCACAGTCATTCAGCAGAACCTTTTGTGGCTATTAAAAAGAGGTATTTAAAAAGGGATTTTAGTAACATAGAAAAAATTTTATGTTGTAATTTAAAAAATCATGATACAAGATTATAGGTGCAGAATGACTACAACCACATAAAAGTTGAAATAATAAAACTTTGGAAAGAAAAAGACATCAAAATGTTAACAGTGACTATATTTGGGTAATGCGACTACAGGGTTTTTTGTTTTTTCTTTTTCTTTCCACTTACCTATGTTTTCCAGATTTTCTAGAATACTTACAGCTGCAAACTGAATTGTGTCCTTCAAATGCATATGTTGAAGCCCTCATCAGCAATGTGCTGGTATTTGGAGAGGGGTCCTTTGGTAGGTAATAGGGTTAGATGAGGCCATGAGGGTGGTGCTCTCATGATGGCATTAACGTCCTCATAAAAAGAGACACCAGAGAGCTTGCTCTGTCTCTACCCACCATGTGAGGAGACAGGGAGAACGCAACAGTCTACAAGCTAGCATAAGAGCTCTCGCCAGACACCAACCATGCTGGTACCCTGATCTCAGACTTCCAGCCTCTAGAGCTGTGAAAAAATAAATTTCTGTTGTTTAAGCCAGTCTGTGGTGTTTTGTTGTGGCAGCCCCAGCAGATTAATAAACAAATGCATTCCTTTCTGAACAGAATACAGTTAAGTTTTAAAAAACCAAACTGTTCATGTGAGATCAAAATAGCTCATTGAGAAAAATGATTGTTTATATCATGCAATTCAACCCCACCTATATTTTTTGTTAAGATTATTTTATATTTTTGTTGAGGTAAAATTTACTTAGAGTGAGATGCATAGTCCATAAGTGTACAATTCTTGGAGTTTTAATAAATGTATACACTGGCAGAAGATTTAGTATACTCCATTCACGTCAGGAAATTCTCCTGTGTCCCCTTCTGGTCAATCCACACGTCCTCATAGACAAATGCTCTGCTGATGTCTGTCATCGTATATTAATTTTAGCTATTCCTGAACTTTATATAAATGTGATTGTGTATTATTCTTTTATGAACAGCTTCTTTCCCTCAACATAATGGTTTCAAGACTCAGCTATGTTGTACGTATCAACAGTCATTCTGTTTTTTACCACTGAGTAGTGTTCTGCTGGATGAATAAACCACAAATTGTTACTACATTCTCTTGTTGAAGGATGTTTGAAATGTTTCCAGTTTGGGAGGTATTCTGAATAGAACTGCTCTTAGGATGTTTTATTTAAGTAATTTTGTGGAGAGAGAGAGGGGGAGAGGGAGGGGCAAGGAGAGAGAGAGACAGAGAGAAAGGTTGATTGAGAGATTCACTTTTTCTTTGGGAAAATACCTAGAAGTTAATTTGTTAGGTCATAGGGTAGGCACATGTTTAATTTTTTAAGAAACTGTCCAAAAGCTTCCCATAGCGGTTGTGCTATTTTGCACCTTTTATCTGAGTTCTAGTTGCTCCAAATCCTTACCAACCTTTGGCTGTTGTCCATCTTTTTAATCTTAGCCGTTTTAGTGGGTGTAAAACAGGATCTCATGGTGTTTTGTTTTTTTCTTGTTTTTTGCGGTACGCGGGCCTCTCACTGTTGTGGCCTCTCCCATTGCAGAGCACAGGCTCCGGACGCGCAGGCTCAGCGGCCACAGCTCACGGGCCCAGCCGCTCCACGGCATGTGGGATCTTCCCGGACTGGGGCACGAACCCGTGTCCCCTGCATCGGCAGGCAGACTCTCAACCACTGCGCCACCAGGGAAGCCCCACTCATGGTGTTTTTATTTTCTCTGACACCTAATGAGGATAAGCATGATAGGATAAGTAAACCTATCATGGGTTTACTGGCCATCGATATACCTTCTTTGGTGAAGTGTCTGTTCAAGTCTCTGTCCCATTTGGAAAAATGGGTTGTTTACATTTTTAATTTATTTTTAGGAGTTCTTTACACATTCTGGATATAAGTATTTTGTCAGATATGTATATTGTGAACATTTTCGCTCAGTCTTTGGCTTACCATTTCATTTCCATCATGAGTATAAGTCTGGCAGAATGAAATAACTCTTACAAAAAAGTGAATTGTTACTCGAGATAAAAACATCCCAATGGAAAAAAAAAATTATACCACAGGATGAGACCACACTTCCATATTTTTGCTATTAGGAGTATTTTACCTATACATACAAAAATTATGTATATATGTGCATATGTATACACATTTATATGTACATATATGACATCTATTACGTCTATCTGAATATCTTTTTATAAACAGAAATTAAAAATTTTTATGAAGTCCAGGTTACCAAGTTTTTCTTTTGCATTTAGTCCTTTCTGTGTCTGCTTTTAAAAATCTTTGCCAACCCCATGATCACGATGATATCGTCTTATAATTTCTTCTGCTTTATAGTTTTAGCTTTTCTGTTTAGGTCCACAGTCCATTAAAACTTGATTTTTGAGTGTGAGGAGAGGTTCATTTATCCAGTTTTCCAGCACCATTTATGAAAATATTTTTCCCAAATGAATTATTTTGGTGGCTTTGTTGGCACCAGTTGACTGCATGTTATCTATTTCTGGACTTTTTATTATGCTCCATTGATCTGTTATCCTTACACTGTCTTGATAACTGTGGCTTTATAGGAAGTCTTTAAATCAGGTAGAGTCCTCCAACCTATATTTGCTTTCACAAGATTGTTTTGAGTATTCTAGGCCCTACTTTTACGTACATTTTAAAGTCAAGTTGTACAAAAACGTCTGTTGGGATATTGTTTGGGATTATGTAGAATCTAGCTCAGTTTGGGTAGAACTGACATCTCAACACTATTGAATTTTCCACCTCATGAACATGTTACAGCTCTCTACGTATTAAATCTTCTTTAGTTTCTCTCAGAAATGTCTTGTGATTTTCAATATAGAGGTATTGCACCCATTTTTTAAAGCTGATTCCTAACAATTTCTTTTGGGCTTTTTTGGATGGTATTATAAATACTCTATTTTCTAAGTTTTATTTTCCATTTGTTTGCTGCCAACATCATATATTTGCCAATTATTATCAATATAGTGACCTGATAAATTCAATTACTGTTTTTCATGATTGTTTACAGATTCTTAAGATTTCCATTCAAACAATCATGCCATCTACAAATAAAGACATGTTTACTCCCCCCATTCCAATCTTTTACTTCTCTTATTACAGTTGCTAGTCCCTCCACTACTGAATACAAATAATGAAAGTAGACAACTTATCTTGTTCCCCATTTTAGGGGGAAAATGTTCAATATCTCACGTTAACACAATGTTATTAGCTATGGGTTTTTTCATAAATGCATTTTATCAGATTGGGACAGTTCCCTTGTAGTCTTAGTTGGCTGAGAGTTTTTATCATGAATGGATGTTGAATCTGCCAAGTGATTTTCTAAATCAATTGAGAGGATTATGTTTTTAAAAATCATTTATTTGCTTAATGTGATGAATTACATTAATTGATTTTCAAATGTTAAATCAAACTTGCATTCCTAGGATAAATCCCACTTAGTCATAGTGAATTACCTTTTTTATATAATGCTGGATTCAACCTGAGAATATTTTGTTGAGGATTTTTTATGTCCATGTTCATGAGAAATACCGGTCTCTGATTTTCTTTTTTGTCAATGTCTTTGCCAGGCTTTGGTATCAGGATAATATTGACCTCACAAAATATATTGAGAAGTGTTCCCACCTTTCCTGTTTTCTGAAAGAGTTTGTGTAATATTGGGTTTTTTTCCTTAAATTATTGGCAGAATTCAACAGTGAAGTCATCTGGGGCTGATTTTTTTCTTTGTTGGAAAGTTTCTAATAATTATCTCAACCTCTTTTATAAATGTATTCGTATTCTCTGTTTCTTGTTATTTCAATATTGGCAATATGCGATTTCAAGCAATTTGTCCATTTCATCTTAGTTGTGAAATGTAATGGCATAAAGTTGTTCATAATATTTCTTTACTAACCTTTCATTTTCTGCAGGGGCTGTAGTAATTTCCTGTGACATTCCTGATACTAGTAATTTGCTTTTTCTCTCTTTTTGATTAATCTGTGTTAGGAATTTATATATTAATCTTTTAAAGAAACAACTTACAGCTTTTCCTATTTTCTCTATTATTTGTTTTCTATTTCACCTATATCTGCTTTTTATTACCTCCTCGCTTCTTCTCACATTGGGTTTAAGGCTTTTTTCTATATTCTTAAGATGGCAATGTAGATCATTAATTTTAAACCTTTCTTCTTTTCTAATATAAGCATTTAAAGCAATGCATTTCCCTCTATGCACTACTTTAGCTGAATGCAGAAATCTGACATGTTGTATTTACACTGTCATTCAACTCAAATTATTCTTATTTCTTTCTAATTCTTTTTGACCTATGTGTTATTTAAACATATCTTTAAGTTTCAAACTCCAGTGCTCTTTCAGATATTTTATTGTTATTGCTTTTAATATGATTCTGTTATGATTATTGAACACAGTCTATAATGTTTTAATCCTTCAACATCTTTGACATCCACTGAGATTAATTTTATGGTTCAACATGGTCTATCTTGATGAATGTTTCATTTGCACTTGAAAAGAACATGTATTTTGCAGTTGCTGGGTACAATGCTCTGTAACATCAATTAGATCGTTGTTAAGTCAA